CAGTTGGAGACTGCGTTCAGTTCTGGGCTCCGCACCTTAGGAAAGATGTGAGGGCATTGGAGAGGGCGCAAAGGAGGTTTACCCGATGGTACCAGGAATGAAGGACCTTAGTTATGAGGAGAGGTTAGTGAAACTAGGATTATTCTCCCCAGAGCAGAGAAGATTCAGTGGGGATTTAATAGAGGTTTTCAAGATCATGAGAGGATTTGACAGGTTGAACCGGAAAAACTGTTCCCACTGTCATGTGGGTCAGTAACCCGAGGACACCGATTTAAGATAGTTGTTAAAAGAAACAGAGGGAAGGTTAGGAAACATGTTTTCACCAGCGAGCTGTTGGGATCTGGAATGCATTACCTGAAGGGGTAGTGGAAGCCGATTCAATAACAACTTTTAAGAGAGAAGTAGACGGGTATTTGGGGAGGACAGGATTGCAGGGCTATGGGAGAAAGCGGGCCGGTGGGATTGAGTTGGATTGGTCTTTTAGGAGTCGGCACAGACACAATGGGCCGAATGGCCTCATTCTGTGCTGTGATATATGATACTATGAGCACTGTGATTAGTTGCAAAATTCCCTCTTTAAATTTTCCTGTGCAATCCCACACCTGACTAATCTCTCCATGTATTCCGCCACATAAGCAAGAGATTGCCCGGCAGGGTATTCATTGTTATGAATATTGGAAGCTGCTTCGAGGCATTATACATTTTACTGTATCACATTTGTGACGTCTTAGACTGCTTAACATTCTAATTTAGGTTGTTTTGAATAGTAAAATGATAGAAATTACTTGTACAATCGATGGAGTAACTTCAGTAAGATTTGGCTTCAGCGTTAACCTGCATAATTGATATAATTTCACATTATCTTTGGAGGGCAGATAGCTCAAAGACTGTGGTAGACTTTGCTGCAAAAGAACAAAAAGGGCAAGGATGGTTAAAGAAGCAAAACTGTTTATTATATGAAAGACGTATCATTTGGGAACTCAGATTTTTCTCCCTTTATAGAATTTGCAATAATGTTGCTACACTGTTAATTACATGGATCATTTTATTACGGTGGAACATTATGGAATGTTAAGGATTGGGATTGGATGAAGGAAGGAGAGGGAGGGAGGGAGGGAGGGAGGGGCTGTGAAAGTGCATGAAATTCTGTTGCAAGGTTCATGTGAAGGGAGATGCTGGATTATGAACCCCACAAAACTATAGTGAATCGCACTAAATCTGCACATCTAAGATTCTCTCATGTTTGTGTGACGGTTTAAGAGTCTATCAGAATTCACTTGGCCATAAAAAACAACTATTTGAGATCACAATTTAAGTCTGTTTAAGGACATTACTGTGCGCAAATCAACTGCCACATTTGCCCACAAAAGACAGTCACTGCACTTTAAAATACATCCTGTGAAGCGCTTTGGGAAGGCCTCGTGATATGAAAGGTGCTATACCAAATGTAAGTATGGCACAACCTAGGCATCAGGTTCGCCCCACAGCTGTCCTTCCTTCCCCACATCTAGTCCTTGACCAGGATCAACTTTCTCCATCTCCGCCACATGGCCAGGTTTCACTGGCTCCCTTTCGCCGAACAGATCGATTTCAAGATCCTCACATGTTTTCAAATTCCTTCATGCCCTGGTACCTCCCTACCTCTCAGACCTGCTTACTCCCCAACCCACAACTCGCTGCCTCCGCTCGACTGGCTCTGGCCTACTGCATGTCCCTCATGCCCTCCATTCCACCATGGGTGGCTGCACTTTTAGCCAGTGTGCCTCGAAACGCTGGAACACTCTTCCTCTATTCCTCTGCCTTGTTCCTCCCTTCCCCATCTTCAGATCGTGCCTGAAGATCTTCCTCTTTGACCGTACTATGGTCACCTCCCTCCGGTTCGGAATCGTGCTCTGCCACTGCCTAGCGCTCTGGAACACTACCCTGCGTGAGGGGCATTATATAAATGCGTTCCTGTTATGATTATTATTAGTAAAGTCTTGTAATACAATCATTCATTTGAGTACTTTTAAAGACTCTAAAGAATTGTGTCCTTCACATTTTTTCTTGAATGATATCAATTTTAGTTTTTACTTCTTTGTTTCAAAAGATTTAATTGTTTAAAATCACGACTGGCAACAAAATGCACACAATGTGATTCAGCCATGGTAAAGGGTTTCCATATGGCCTCTAGCTTCGTAGTGCAATCACCCTTCTCTCCAATTGCTGCATTGGATGATGAACTTACTGTGCAAGCAAGGGAGAAGCTGTAATGCACTACATTAGTATGCCAGGAGACTGCACCACCGAATCACCTTAAAGTGAAATCTTTATTTCCAATATCAAATCACCTTTGAATCAAATTGCTTTCAGAGTGCTGAAATTTTGAATGAGAATGCAAATTTACTCCATGTTCTGACATTTCCTTTTAGGATAAATAATGCTGAAAATAGGGAGCTGGTAGAGAGGAATGTTTCAGCTTTATCTCTGATTGGTATTGCAGGATATTCCTTCGACGTTGTCTTACGGCACAGAAGATGCGTTGCTGTATTCTTCTCATGGTCTAGAAAATTAGAATAGCTGCTTAGAAATAGTTGGTTCTTTTATTGCAGATGTGAAATACCTTGAAGCAATTATTCCTAAGTATTATTCCTAAGTATTATTAAATTGGTCAATCGTTTCATGTCTGTTGGACATTGCTGTGCGTAATTGGGCTGTGGCCTGTGCCTACAAGGTCACTACATTTCACAGTAAATCATGTGAAGCACTTTGAGACGTCCTCCCAATGTGAAGGGTGAAAACAACAAAATTATATTTGTATAGCGCCTTTCATGTTGGGAGGACATCCCAAGGCACTAAACCAAATGCAAGGATTATTTTTATTACGCCAATGGTGTTGGTGTTGACTGGAGTTAGTGACAGTTATTTGAGGAAGACCACCAACAAGCTGGGGCTAGATGCTTGGCATTATTATTGGTGCAGATAATCCAGAACTCTGCAGCCCGTGTCCTCTCCGGCACCAAACTCCGTGGACTCATCTCCCCCATTCTCACCCGATTCCATTGGCTCCCTATCCTCCAGAGGATCCAGTTCAAAATCCTGGTCCTCACCTACAAAGCCCTCAATGGTCTCGCCCCACCCTATCTCTGTGACCTCCTAACCGCCTACCAACACTCCCATTCCCTCCGTTCAGCCGGCTCAGGCCTGCTCCACATCCCCCGACCCACCCACTCCACCATTGGCGGGAGAGCCTTCAGCCACTCTGCCCCCAACCTCTGGAACTCCGTCCCCCAATCACTCCGCCTCGCCCCCTCCTTAGCCTCCTTCAAGTCCCGCCTCAAGACCCTCCTCTTCGACCATGCCATCGGCCAACCCTCTTCCCCTCCCCTCCCTTTCCTCCCCCCTGACCCCAGTTCGGGTCTGAAATGCTGTACACTGTCCAGCACCTTGGGACATCCTCTCATCGTGAAAGGCGCTATACAAATGTAATCTTGTTGTTGTTGTTGTTGCTAGAAAATTGTATCAATCTGTGCCTATTTAATTACAAAATGTTAGGAAACTTTTTTTTAATTGGGCAGCTCTTATTGTTAAGGACAGGTTTATGTTGTGTAATATAAAGGTCTTTGATATCATTTCTAACATGATTTATTGGTAGATTATACAACAATGTAATTTAAAATTATTTTTCAAAAATCTTAATTCCTAAAATAAATCTAGATTCAAGTTTCGGTTTACAAGTAAAATAACTGAAAACCCAAGATGATCATTTTTGCACCCTTGGTTTGTCAAGAATGTATGACAACATCAGCCGTGAGATGTAACGTTTCCCTTTGTATAATCAGTGAGAATGCCAGTCACTGCTTTATAAAGCAGTGAATTGGACCACTGGCCTTTCATCCTTTGTCCAAGATTGATGGAATGGAATCTCCTCACTTTTCCCAAAAGAAATAGCCTGATGTGAAATTAGTTCAGATAAATAACCTCAATCTAATTTTAATTGGTACCTGACTGACCCCATGACAAATTTGCCCTTATTGGGCACAAATTGACAATGTCCCTCAAAGAGGATGTGAAGAAGGCTTTTATGGAAAATGACACAATTTACACTGTTCTCCCTTTGTTTTACCTGATCTGTAAATACTTAATGCTGAACTGATTGCTAGAAGTGAAAAGTGTATCATTTCCTAACATATACAAACCTTTATATTGACCAAAAGATTAAATCAGGAGTACAAAATTGGATTGTTATCCAAAAGAGTATTTTTTAAATTGAAGTAGTGTATTCAAACAGGTCTTTTTAAACAAAAAGTTGATTTTAATATTCTATTTACTATTGCTAAGTTTTTTTAAAAATCCTTAAACAGTTTATGGTGATATTTGGAATAATGGCTTAGTGAAGTTGTTATAATAAGTTTGCAACATTTTGTGGGTGTTTCCCCCACAACGTATACCGTCAATTCACTTAATAGCATATTTTGAAGCCCTTTTATTAGAATCCTTGCATATGACATGCCACTTTATCATGTCATTGAGGTGTCTCAAAGCGTTTCACGTGATATATTGTAAAGTGGTGTGCCTGTTATTAAACCTTACACTATACTAAATGAACTTGAATGTACAGTCAGAAACTCAGGTGTTGTGTATTCAGCTGCTTACAAACGCCAGGCTCAGTACCCCTTATCCAGTTTGTCAAACTAGTTTTCCCTAGAATAAATAAAAGGATATTGATTATACTTGATTTATGTCAAAATAGTAACACTTGCTATTTAACCTGTTTTACATGGTCATGACATATATTGCACTTTGCAAACATTAATTTTTTCAAAATTTGACATTCTTACAGGAGTTTTATTTTTATTTTTTATTTTTAATAGTGCTATTGTAGTTTGAACCGACGTATTTATTATGCATGAATGAGGGCGTTAAGTGATCCAGTTGTAAATAGGATGGTGGAAGGCGAACTGGGTGGTTCTTTGTCTTCGACGAGCAAATCCTTATGTTTTTGTGTTTCTGTTTTGCAGAGTGCAAATTCCACTGCGCCAATGGCAACTGCTTGAAATTTGGAAACTTGATCTGCAACCAGCTGAATGATTGTGGAGATAACAGTGATGAAGAAAACTGTCCATTAGTAACTGAGCTCCCACCACCTACCATCTTCAACTGTAAGTGCAGAACTTCACTTTATTTCATTGCCTGTTATTAGTAATGAAAACATGAAGAGTTGCAATAAAATTTTAAATATTGTGATTGATGTCAACAACATCTTGCATTTATATAACACTCTTCACATAGGCTAACATCTCACAGCGCTTTCTAGTGACAGGGTTGGACATCAAACAGAGGAAGAGGGAATGGGGAGTTGATCATAGGCCCAGTCGAAGAGGTAGCTTTTGAAGCAGGTCTTTGAACATAGGTAGAAAAGGGTCAAGATAGAGGGGTACATAAGAACATAAGAAATGCTAGACAGAAAAAGACCAAGGTCCATCTAGTTCGCCTTTCACCTTCCTGGCGGTCACGTGCACATATGTCCCAAACTCCCTATGTGCTGTATCCCATCATGTTATTCCTTAAAACAAAACTGTCTAATCTGTGTTTGAAAAAATCACCATTTCCAGCTATAACTGTCTCCCCAGGGAGCCTGTTCCACAGGGTCACTATTCGCTTACTGAAATAGTGTTTGCGTAGATTTGTTCTGAATTTACCCCTCTTCAATCGCAGGCCGTGTCCTCTGGTAGAGTTAGGGAGTTCCAGAGATTAGGGGCATAGAAATTGAAAACTCAGCTAGTGATTGTAGCACGGCTGGGGCAACAAATATGCAGCAAGCGCCAGTTAGCCGAGTGGAGGGGTGAGCAGAGCAATAGGTAGGAGGAGATCAGAGAGAGAGGGGAGTGAAGAGATTTGTAGTTGAGGACCTTGAAATCGATCTGCTGGACAATGGTGGAACCTGGCAAGACCTGGGGTGATAGGCATGTGGAGTTTTGGGAGGGCAAGGATGCAGACAGCATTTTGAATAAGTTGGAGTTTATAGTGGAGCCATAGAGACCAGCAAAGATACATTTGAGAAGTCCAGGTCGAACTTAACAAAGGTGTGGATAAGGGTTTTGTTGGTATTTGGTACGAGATGGGCGAGGGTGAAGGAAGACCATCTTATTCAGAGAGCATAAGTGAGAGAGAAAGGAGAGCCAAGGATTGCACGGAAGCTAAGGTTGTGACTGGTTTGGGAGTTTGAGAAACAAGCTGGAAGTTTCAATATATCATATGGTTGGAACTTGAGCTACACATCTTAAAATGTGCAGGCAATAGAGTTTTTTTTAATGGATTTTAAAGGTTCCTTTCCTTCATCAATTAATCCTCATCCTCACCTACAAGGCCATTCACGGCCTCGCTCCCTCCTACCTCTCCGACCTACTATCCCCCTACTTACCTGCCCGTACCCTCCGTTCCTCTGGCTCTGGTCTGCTCCACATCCCCTGCCCCAACCGCCCTACCATCGGTGGCCGGGCCTTCAGCCTCTCAGCCCCGAGGCTCTGGAACTCTATCCCCCAGTGCCTTCGCCGCTTCCTCCCTTTCCTCCTTCAAGGCCGGTCTCAAGACCTTTCTCTTTGACCGTGCCTTCAGCTCCCCTCTCGACTCTCCACCCCCTCCTTGCTCCCTCCCTTCCCTCCCCTCACCCTGACCATTTTCCCCCCAAGGCTCGGGTCCTGACCCAACTGACCAGCGCCTTGGGACGTCCTCCCGACGTGAAAGGCGCTCTATAAATGGAATCTTGTTGTTGTTGTAATCTGATCCTTTAAGTCCTGCACTTTTACTGAATTGTCATTGTTCTATGGCAGTGAACATTTGAATGTAGTGAAATATTTTAAAAATGTGTTCATATTGGAACAGAATAATTAATTTGAACTGGCAATTGGACAGAAAACTTATGCCTGGAGCCCTGCTGTTGACAAAGTGGGACATTTGTAAATGAAGATCTCTAGACTTTTATTCTCTTACCAAATATTGAACACTGTTTTGATGTTGGTGGCTATGTTGCTGGTATATCAGCAATTAGGGTAGTTGAATATCTGTGATGCTGAAATGAGAATGTGGACAATTTAGAGTTAAATTTAATGTTTCTGATCATTCACCCACTAAAAGTATTTTTCTTGTTTAAAGGTTGTTATAAAAATATTGTTATAAAAGTTGTTTGATAAACTTGTTTTTGTATCATAAGACACATGTTAGAACACTGTTATTGTCACACTTGTACATAATGTTGTCATGGCATCCGGATCTCCTTAAACAAAATGTTTTCTATGGTACAACAACAACAACAAAATTATATTTGTATAGCGCCTTTCACGTCGGGAGGAGGTCCCGAGGTGCTGGACAGTCAGTGTTTCAGATCCGAGTTGGGGGTTGGGATCGTTTTTTGTTTTTGCTTTCAAGTGGGATAAAGAGGGGAAAAAAACATTTCCAGTAAAACACTATCCAACTAAACTTTAACTGTTCAAATCAAAGCTATTAGTGTCTAGTCCGCTCATCATGACTTGATTTGATTCAATAGAATGGAACTCAGGTTCGAGTACATCAATTGAGCTTTGCTTGAGTTTGTACTGAACTCTGAGACCCTACCCTGTGTAAAGGGGGCTATAGAAGGGCAAGTTGTTGTTGTTCCTCAATCCCTCCGCCTTGCCCCCTCTTGCCTGAAGTCCCACCTGAAAACCTTTCCTTTTCGACAGGCACTATATAGTGCAAGTTGTTGTTGAACTGATTGTTCAGTCAGAATCAGTTTTGCATTTGTTGTGGTTGCATTGTGACAGGAATTAAATATGGAAATACTGGATTCCAAACCAATTTGCAACTTGTTGCTCAGTTTTAAATCAACACCTTCTGTCACCAAAAAATTGACAGTTTTTAAATGGAGGCAATCTGTCCAGCTTAACATTTCCACCATATTTGTTGAGAAAAAGCATAGCTTATGACAGAGAGAGCCATCAAGTGCTGTAAATCATTTTGAGGGCAGTTTGACACGTGCCCAGAATGTACAGTTACTGAATTAGGATTGGACAGTGAGCTGGTAATCCAGTTTGTTCTTCTCAGCAAATCTGTTTTCATGTGATAAAGCAGAAGCAATGACTTTAATTGGACAAGGCCGGGATTAGTACATCAGATCTTCAATATGTCTTTCAATATGTTGACAAATCTGTGTTAGTGTGATCTACGTATAGAAGTATTGTGCTAGTTTTGGGGAAAGTGAGTCACAAAGTGCTGCTTAAACCATCTCAAAATAGGTTTTTAATTCACTTTGCCTTTTGTTCAAAATATGTGCCATTTGGTACAGAAAAGATTCGATTGAGATCAAGATGGAAAATGCTGGAAATCTACAATAGCTGATCAGCTTCTGACAGAGAGAAGTTTGTTCATGTTTTGGCTTTGACACTTCAGAGCTTCTTGAGTTTTATTTTCTCTTTCAAATGATGATTGGCCTACTGTGCATTGCCAGTATTTGTTTTCATTGCAAATTTCCACTCGTCTGTTTTTCTCTTATCCTATTAAACCTTTTAAGGTATTGATTTTCTTGACACCATGATTTTTTTCAAGGGTTTAGTTACAAAATAAGTAACAACAACAACAGAATACATTTGTAAGGCCCCTTTCACATCGGGATGACGTCCCAAAGTAATTAGTTGCATAACACTTGTTTGATGATAATAATAATAATAATCCTTGCATTTGATATAGCACTTTTAATGTCTTCTAGACATCTCAAAGCGCTTCACAGAATACACTCTGAAGTGAATTGACTGTATATTTGTGGGCGAAACTCGGCAGCCAATTGTGCACAGCAGCGTCCCCCAAATAGTCATGGATTGAAAATAATCAATTTATTATTGTTTTTGTTTTTTGGAGGGATTATTATCAGGCATATGGAGTAAGGAAACTTGCCCAAGGTTTCGCCCTGCCTGGAATTGAACTCAGGTGTTTCGCTTGCCAGGTATTTGCTCTAACCACTGAGCTACAGGACTCCAATGATGAATGATGGTCACAATTCAATATGTGAATATGGGCTACAGAATATTTGTACAGTATAATGTACAAAATTATAAATGTCTCCCCATCCCCAAATTGCTCCCTCAACTGAGATCAATGAACTTAGCACAGACCAGCCCAACAGGTTAGTGCAACCCAACCAGTTAGTGTGGCTGAGTTTGGATAGTGCCTTTACAACAACAACAACAAGTTGGAACAAGACTTGAAGGAGGCTAAGGAGGGGGCGAGGCGGAGTGATTGGGGGACGGAGTTCCAAAGGTGGCTGAAGGCTCTCCCACCAATGGTGGGGCGGGTGGGTCGGAGGCTGTGGAGCAGGCCAGAGCCGGCTAAGCGGAGGGAGCGGGCGGGTTGGTACGGGGTTAGGAGGTCGCAGAGATAGGGTGGGGTGAGACCATTGAGGGCTTTGTAGGTGAGGACCAGGATTTTGAATTGGATCCTCTGAAGGATAGGGAGCCAATGGAGTCAAACGAGAATGGGGGAGATGGGGTCACGGAGTTTGGTGCGGGAGAGGACACGGGCGGCAGAGTTCTGGATTATCTGCAGCTGTGGAGGGAGGAGTTGGGAAGGCTGACAAGTAGGGAGTTTGCATAGTCGAGCCTCGAGGTGATAAAGGCATGAACAAGAGTTTCAGCGGCCTGACGGGTGAGGTAGTGGCGGAGTCTGGTGATGTTACGGAAGTGAGGGAAGGCAGAGCGGGTCACAGCTTGGATGTGGGGAAGTAAAGGGGATGTGGGGAAGTAAAGACAGCTCGTGTACTGTCCCGCACCAGGCTTCAGACCACATCACTCCCACCCTCGCTCGCCTCCACTGGCTCCCCATCCCCCAGAGAATCGATTTCAAGATCATCATCCTCACCTACAAGGCCATTCACGGCCTCGCTCCCCCCTACCTCTCCGACCTACTATCCCCCTACCTACCTGCCCGTACCCTCCGTTCCTCTGGCTCCGGTCTGCTCCACATCTCCCACCCCAACCGCCCTACCATCGGTGGCCGGGCCTTCAGCCTCTCAGCCCCGAGGCTCTGGAATTCTATCCCCAAGTGCCTTCGCCGCTTCCTCCCTTTCCTCCTTCAAGGCCAGTCTCAAGACCTTTCTCTTTGACCGTGCCTTCAGCTCCCCTCTCGACTCTCT